CCCAATTGACAGGGGTATTGAATTAGAGAAATTTGGTTGGGTCCTACCTTCCAATAGCTGATAGTTGGCTTGGGCACCTGAATAGGCTGCATCCTGCTGATGAGGTGGTGTCCGTGTAGTCTGGTAGGCCAACTGTCCTGTTGAAGACGTTGTTACCCAAAGAAGCTCTACCCCGTTGGCTACGGGTTGTCATATCATGCTGTGTTGATGGTGGTGTGTGTTCGAGTGACATCCTGGAGTCTTTGTAGGTGTTTTTCACTAAACCACTATGTTGGAAAACAAAGTTGTTTTTCACCTAGCCACTATGTTGGGAGCCAAAGTTGTAGCGAAGTGTTGGAAACTTGCCGAAGGTGTGGGTGGTAGGTTTTTAAAGACTGTAATTCCTGAACACGCTTTATTCTATTTAGACAAATTGAGTCTCAAATTGGTAACACTTCTTGATCCTGCGGTCATTAAATCTAAAAACTGTTTCACCACTTAATTGAAGCGAACATAAAATATTATATTAATTTAGTTACCTGTTTCACCAGATAACTTTTCGTTTAACAAAACGATCCAGAGGATGATAACAAAATTTAAAGATCTAAAACGTTGCAAGCAACTGCTAAAGAAAACAGGCAAATGGTGGCTGAGTATCACCAAAAAAACCATTAAATTTCGCGGGGAATTATTTAGGCGGAAAATTTGAATTAAGACGTGTTACCAACTTTACTTTTTAATGATAATATCATATAATAAATAAAGTAGTACAAAAATAACCAAATCGCTTCAATAGTATCTGGCAATATACAAGATAGTTGTCCCAAATAGTAATATAAATTATACTATAGTAAAGGGTATTATAATTATTGTAATCAGCATTGTACTTTTCTCTCCGTGTAGTAAGCTTACCGGCTATTATGTCCCATATAATAGTGCGCACGAGGGGTTTGGGGGTTCAACTCCCCAGGAGGGTTTTTAATTAAAATTTTACTGAAAAATAACCTAAATATTAATATTTTTTATAAAATTTTACTTAAAATACTAAAAAATAACCTATTATTCACGAGGATGAGGTTTGCGTCTCAAGTCTCTACAAGAGAGAGCCAAATCATCCGAGTGAATAATGGGCTTAATCTCGAGTGCAATACTATACTTTATCTACTCGAATTACTAAATTATAAAATGTTTTTTGTTACGTTTCGGGCTGCCCTTTAAGCAACGCCACTGTTTTAAAGAAAATCTTACAACGGTTGGAAGTTTCAGGTTAATTATTGTTAAAGCAAACTATAACGTTACTGGTAAATTAATCTATTAAAATATTACTGCGATTACAACCCTGGCACACCCGTTTTATAAATGGCCACTTATATTCCGTTCACAACCTCGACAAGGTATAAAATATGAAAATATACAAAAGTAAAAGTAAAAGATTTTACAAATTAACTAACACTAATTGTTGATATTTGTTCTTGATAACCGCTTTTGCTTATCCAAAATAATATTATTATCTAGATATATATATCTATAGATAGATCTGACATGGGGAAGGCTTCGCGGTTTCACCAATAATGTTGACAAAACAGCGCTTAATTGATTGGCGACCACTCCCGACTAGAGAACTAGAAAGGATCCGTACAATCTTATGTTTAAGATTCAAAGTTTGAATGTATATCAAGAATTTAAGGATAATGCAATGTTGCCAATTAAAAGAAAACAATATACAAACAAAAACAATAAATGCTCGTAAATAAAAAACATGGTTTTATTTACCTATTTTAACGAAATTAATTATCAATTATTATAAACCAATCTAACAGAATTTTTGAATCGTAACGTGACGGGAGACGCATCAAGCTCGGCACTGTTCACTTATAAAGAAATAAGTGACCAGGACAGCGGCGAGATGTATCGACAAGTCAGTCGACTGACTCCAGATCTGGAGACAATTACCGTCTAAAACGTGGCATCGCTGTGCGGCGTGCAATCACAATGCACTTAAACACACACACAGTGAGGCCACGTCTTTAGACGTTAGATGTCTCCAGACTGACTTGCCGATACATCTCGCCGCTGTCCTGGTCATTTATTTCTTTATGAGTGCCGAGCTTGATGCGTGTCTCCCGTCACCGACTGCCTGACACTGATGAGACCCAACAGGTCGAAACAGTCTCTCTGTCAGTGTTGGTGGGTATGGTGCATTAGTCATTGGACCATACCATTTGGGAGACGCGCTTCGAGCCCGGCTCGGTGGCGAGATGGAAGGTATTTCAGTCTTTGCAATATATATATATATATATATATATATTTATATATATATATATATCAGTGGCGGATGGTGGATTTTGGGCACACCCATATCTCAGTTATTATACATGGGACCCACATCAAATTTATATGAGTTTATAATGACATTATATAGACGAAAAAAAGTTAGTTTTTAAGTGCAACCCCCAGCCTCCTGCCCCTCCAAATTAAAATAATTCAAATTAAAGTGGTACAATATTTAACAAATTTCAAATTTCATTAAAAAAATTCAAGAATTACAGGTTTTATACCATTTATAATTTTTATTATTTCTTTTACTAAATTAAAAAAAAATAGAAATGGTATAAAATCTGTAATACTCAAATTTTTTTAATAATATTTGAAATTTATCGATAAACTTCAGTGAATTAATTATTGTACCACTTTAATTTTAATTATCTTAATTTGGGGAGGCAGGAGGCAGGGGGGCACACTTAAAAACTAACTTTTTTTCGCAAACTTAAATTTAAATTCTGCTTGCGCAGAACTCAATTTTGAAGTTAAGCAGGGGGGCACACTTAAAAACTAACTTTTTTTCGCAAACTTAAATTTAAATTCTGCTTGCGCAGAACTCAATTTTGAAGTTAAGTCTTTTAAATTTACATCGCGTGTCTTTTTAAAACGTTTTTTAAAAGTTTTTAGCTTACATTGTTTTTGTTCATAAATATCTTTGGGCTTATATAATTAAAATATTTTTTGTCAATATCATGGTGCACCTGATTACTTAAAACTCGAGAATAATAGCAAACAATTATATATTTTCAAAAATTATTCTTTCAAATCTTCTGCTCAATATACCTACTTGAGAAAACTTAAAAATATTATAACAACCTTAAGGATGCTGTAGATTATCTAGTTTTCATTTTGCTTTATTCAAATCTCGTTTTAAAAACTACTTTTTATTAAGCCTATACAAAAAAAACCATCGAAAACATGTATGTATGATGCAGTTAAATCCACTTTAAAATTCGCCCTATGTTCTCTAAAAATATTTTATTCATGTTCTGTTTCTCTTTAAATTTAATACTTCAAAGAAAATAAGAAATTTAAACCTTGAAATTACCATTTAACTTACCACAAATCCATTAAAAAATACAATGAATTGTTTAAAATTAAAAAATAATAATAATTTTAAAATACTTTTAACTTCTTTGTAATATTTTTTATAAAAGTTTAGGAATATTTTTTGTATCCTTTATGATTTGTTTATTTATATTATATTTAAAAGTACTGTATGTATACCTATATATAGCTTAGATTTGGAATTCTTAAATTTGCCATTTTGTCCTAGGTAGATAATGTTATGTAATGTAACTTTTGTTATTATGGGGTATGTGTATGAATTTATTCTACAGTGACCTGTAATTTTACAGTTAACCACACTGATTTCGAGCTTTTAAGCATTAAAATGCGATAGATATAACCAGGCTTCCTATATATTTTTTATTATTGTTTGGCAGTATATAAAAAATTTACTTTTGAACTGCATACAAATATGAAGTCTTTCTATAGTGTTATAATATAAAAAATGTTATACCTACCCTTATAAAAATATATAGGTGTTTTTATATTATATTATATATATAAATTTAAAATTTTCCCGTTGAAATAACACAGAAGAGATAATTTTTTACATTATTTAATTCAGCAAGCTATAAACAATTTTTTTTATAAAATAAATAAATTAACCATCTTCAGCATTAAATTTTTGAAAAAAAAAATCATAAACATATCATGTATATATATATATATCATATATATCATATATATATATATATATATATATATATAGTTTTAAGGTAATTTTAAGATTTTTTATTAAAAATAAATATATTTAATTGTGAAGAACACAATGGATTGTCAAAAAAAGTTTTTGTTAAAAGACTTAACAACTGTCCATTGATATACTAACAAATAAGGAATTACAAATCGCACAATTTCTACCATGTGTCACACAATCGTTTTTTGCGATTAAACAGTGATTTAACAGTAAAAATGCCTAATTATTTTACGCACAAATAGAACTTTTCAATTTGGAAAAATTTTAGGTATAATACCTACCAAAGTTACCTGTGTGACTATATGAACACAATGCCTACAGTTTGTTAAACTTTATTCTCCACATATCCCCTTTTTCGACCACGATCCTAGGTTGTATTAAAGGTCAAATAGTCGTAAGTAACTGTGACCCGTGTGTATAGACAATTCCTATATTGTGTAATTTATACACAAGTCATCTCAGGTGTCATGACGTCATGGTGCCATGACGTCCTTGTGTATTTTTAACACAAAACAAGGTTTCTGCAGCGTAACAGCAACGTCCATTTAAGGAATAAAATGCTGACTGGTAACATGGTCACACGCACTTGGGCCCCACATTTGGCCTTTTGTACTACTATGGATCTTAAGCCATACAAGCTTCTGAAAGAATTTCAGAAGGAAAGCGGAAGATGTGGAGCTAATATCGGTTGTCACAACCTATTTTTCTTCTAAATTGGATTTATAAACTCGAAAACAGCAGGGCAGTTATAAATAATATACATCACGTTTTCTTCTCCCCAGTTACAGGCTCTACAGAGAGAAATGTCCAATTTCTCCATTGTATAATTCCGACAAGATGAGAAAGATTTTACGGCTGGTCGGCAGAGGATATTTTGCCCACCTGTCAAACCGATAACTAATTATATTTTTGGTCTGACGGCAAGTACTTAAGTTTACCGATTTGTTTTTAGTGGGTTAATTTCTTTATTTGGGTATTCAAGACAAATTTTGATATAGGCAAGATCGTCGGCCTTTTCATTTTCATTATGCCCTTTTACACATGCGTGTTCCATGACATTGTTTGTTAAAACATGGTGTTTGGGGATCCATTCAGCCCTAGTGGGTAGGTGTTTTTTGTCCTTATTCAGGATGCAAGTATGACGATTGTTTGAGTTGTGTACAACCAGAGGACTATCTTTGAAGAATGTTTTCCCAACAGCTCTTCTACACAGACAGATGGCAACAAAGGCCTTCTGAACTACTAGATGACTACTCCAGTTAAGTTTATTGTTTATAATTACTTCCATATATTTGATTTGGTTTAAAAGTTCCAGACTAGTTCCAAATAACGTTTGCATTTTGAGAAAGCATAGGTACCTTTATCAGATTTAAAATTTCTGGTGCAACTTTTATATTTTTCTGCAATTTCTTTATATTTAAACTCTTTAAGAGACTTTTATAGGGTATTAATGTTATATATACAATTGTGCAGTTAAATTTAAGACATCTTTTTTAATGTTTTGTTCTCATTGTAGTTATGAGTCTATAAACTTTATGTATTGTATTTTTTTAGTTGTAAAATTTTATGTAATCAATTAATGTTGAGCACATTTATAGTTAAATTAGGTTCTTAAACCATTTTGGCAAATTATTTCATTAATTTTATTGAAATAGTGTGTTTCATTTACTAGATTAAAATTTAAATTACCAACAGTGTGCGTTGTTCTATCCATACTCTATATTTTTAAAATAATACCAGAATAAAGAATAATTTTTGTGGTAAGTGGTATAATGATGTTATGAACCTTGTTTTGCTATCCTTTAATTTGTAATAAATTATTTAATTTAATATTATATTTTAGTTTATTTATGTATATAGTGTATCAAAACAATTTTCTTAAAATCTTTATTTTATCCAAGGGATTTCAAAAAATGACAAACAATAAAATATAGTAGGTATATAAAAGAGCTTTGATTTATTGTATACGATATTTTTCGTGTTGCTTTAGGCATCTGATATAAAATATATTGATGTAGCTTTATGTCATGAATGATTCATATTAGTATTCTATCAATCACACTGTGACAGGTCGGTATTAAACAAAATATTGTAGGTTTATCGATTTAAATCTTTTAAGAAATACGTGTTAATTAAATAATTTTTTCGCATGATAAAAGTCGTATGGTAATTATTACTTTTATCAGGCGAAAACATATTTTTATGAATAATTTATAACTTTTAAAAATTTAAATGTTTGGTAACCATTTTTTAAAATTATGATTTTTGGTTTACAAGTATAAATATTAAAAAAAATTGTATTAAAAAAAATTGTATTGAAAAATAATACATTTTCTGTATGACCTTTGGTTTGTGAGTTACAAAAATAAGAAGGAACAAAAAATCATATTCCCATGTAATTCTTTTGAAAAATCAAAAAGTGCGATGCGAAGCATTAATATATTAAAAATTAAGAGCTCATAATTTCACAGGCTCATTTTTACACTTAAACAAAACTTTTTAGCCTGTTTGCTAGAATTAAACCAATTCGCTTTTTTTAGTATATATATATATATATATATATTTATATATAATATAAAAAACACCTACTTATATGAAAGAAAATTGAATGTTTACCTACTTATATATTTTTATATATATATATTTTTTATATTATAACACTATAGAAAGACTTCATATTTGTATGCAGTTCAAAAGTAAATTTTTTATATACTGTCAAACAATAGTAAAAATATATAGGAAGCGTGCTTATATCTATCGCATTTTAATGCTTAAAAGCTCGAAATCAGTGTGGTAAACTGTAAAATTACAGGTCACTGTAGAATAAATTTATACACATAACCTATAATAACAAAAGTTACATTACATTACATTATCTACCTATGACAAAATGGTGAAATAATAGTAGAGAAGTAGAGAAACAGAAAATGAATAAAATATTTTCAGAGAACATAGGGCGAATTTTAAAGTGGATTTATCTGCATCATACATACATGTTTTCAATAGTTTTTTTTTGTATAGGCTTAATAAAAAGTAGTTTTTAAAACGTGATTTGAATAAAGCAAAATGAAAGATAAGATAATCTACAGCAACCTTAAGGTTGTTATAATATTTTTAATTTTTTCAAGTAGGTATATTAAGCAGAAGATTTAAAAGAATAATTTTTGAAAATATATAATTGTTTGCTATTATTCTCGAGTTTAAAGTAATCAGGTGCACCATGATATTGACAAAAAAAATTTTAATTATACATAATAAAGATATTTATGAACAAAAACAATGTAAGCTAAAAACTTTTAAAAACGTTTTAAAAAGACACGCGATGTAAATTTAAAAGACTTGTGCAAAATTGAGTTCTGCCCAAGCAGAATTTAAATTGAAGTTTGCGAAAAAAAGTTAGTTGTTAAGTGTACAATAATTAATTCACTGAAGTTTATCGACACATTTCAAATATTATTAAAAAAATTCGAGTATTACAGATTTGATACCATTTCTATTTTTTTTTAAATTTATTAAATAAAATAATAAAAATTTAAAATGGTATAAAACCTGTAATTCTTGAATTTTTTTAATAAAATTTTAAATTTTTCGATAAACATACAATCAACTAAACAGTGAATTAAATATTGTACCGCTTTAATTTAAATTATCTTAATTTGGGAGGGCAGGAGGCTGGGGGGCACACTTAAAAACTAACTTTTTTTTCGCAAATTTTAATTTAAATTCTGCTTGCCCAGAACTTGTCTATATTGTCATTATTAAGTCATATAAATTTGATGTGGGTCCCATCATGTCTAATAACTGAGATATGGGTGTGCCCAAAATCTACCAGCCGCCACTGGACTTAAGGACAAGTACGTCCATTTTTTTTTTTAAATTTGTCCTATATCTTAAAACTACATTTGTATAATTATAGGTTTACGTTAAAACTTAAAAGCATTGATTCTCACTCAACGTTAAAACCATAAAAATTTATTTAAACTTTAAGTTTAAAATTTTAGCATTTGTGGGGATTTCTTATTATATATATATGGGGTGCTTTTTTTCACGACTATTTTTATTTTTTCGCTCCCAACTTAAAATCTTGTTGAAAATGTTCAAAAAAAATTTCCTGAAAATTTAAGACCCTTAATATTAACTCAAAGTACTCTACCAAAGCGTATAAGATTTCCCATTTAAAATACACGTAAACTTTGATTATTTTTTTTTAAATATCTATATCTCAGCCGCATTTTATGCTATTGGATTGTTTCAAAAAGGGATTTACTCGTAATCAAAAGTTCTACAAAAATGCTTTATGTGCCATAGCTGTTATCTGCACCTGTAGGATGGTACGGGTCACTAAATCGTATTATAGTACATTTTCAACAAGATTTTGAGTTGGTAGCGAAAAAATAAAAATAGTCGTGAAAAAAAAAGCACACTAATATATATATATATATATATATATATATATATAAATATATATATATATATATATATATATATATATACATCCCGCTATACTTATGGCGTCCATACATTGACGTATTACATTGGATATGGCGTCCGATTGGCATACGGCTTCCGTATATGGACGCCATATCGACTACCCACACAATTCAGTTTATTTTTTAGTAAAAACATTTCTGGTAAAATTTCATCGGGACGCCACATGATCGGTGTTATGTACGTTTTTGTATATTTTAGTTCTGCATTATTACGCTTGGCTTAGTTGCGCTCTAGTCGACCGTCTGTATATTCATTATTATTCCGTTTTCATGATTTCGCATATTTGGCGTCCGTAAAATTGGCAACCATGGATCATTTAATTTAATTTTATTATTTTAAATGCGTTCGATGTTTTGAAGCGTTTTTATGAGATTTTAAGGGCGCAATATCACTATGTATAATGTACGAGTACGTTTTAATAATTATAATTTTATAAGTACTATTATTATTTAAATAGATGGTTTTACGAAAAAAATTTGAAAGATCTTTTTTGTAGAGCATACAATTTTCTACAAAAATATCTACTGTGTATTGCTTCATGTATATTTTATTAAAAATTATTTTTTGTAATTGGGTCAGAATTTCTTAAACGGGCCACCTGAATTAGGTCAAAATTAGTTTTTGATTGTAGATACATTTTTTCGATAGTATTTTACATCACTAACACAAATCCTAAAGGATTTTGTAAAAAAAAAATTTCAATTGACATATTCATGATATTAAAAGTAAAAGTTTTTAGTAATTAAAAAATAAAAAAAAATCATTATGGCTAAACTAATTATCCGATTCCAACGATTTAACTAGCGTTGGAATCTTGTTTTGACATAGATTCTTTGTTATTTTTTTCAATTGTAAAATTTTCATTTAGGTCGATTTTTTTTTGTTTTTTTTTTATAACAAATTCGGAAATAATTGGCTTCTGCGCCAGCTATCGACTCGAAAAAAAAAACACATATACTCCAATCATTTTTCGAAATTATGCTGCTGAGAAAAAAAATGGCCCGCAGGTTCCAGACCACCGTAAGACGTCGCGTCACAAGCGCGTACAGCGTACACGGTTCGGAGCGTGAGCTGACACCGCGCGCGGCCACAAAAGGACGAATAACTTTTTGTCAACCTAACTCATCGAGGACCGTGGTTCGGATTCCACGTTAAACAGTAGGTCCCGCTGAAGAACCGAACCTTATAGGCTTTGCCTGTAAGCTGGATAGGTTGATGGCGTTACTACTCTACTTTTTATTATACAGGGTGTTTTCTATGCCCCGTTCAAAATGGCGTTTTTAAAAGTTTAAAATCTTGTTTTTATTCAATGGAACACCCTATATATTTTTGCATAATTGGATATAAAAAGTAATTTTCTTTCTTTTTATTTATATATGTCCTATACCTAAACCTAATAGAAAAAAAAATACTCATTTTTCACAATTTTTTACAATTACCTTGGTTAAATTTTCATTCAAAATTAATTAACTTGTAGCTTACTTATTATTAAAGAGATTAATACTACATAATATAAAAAATAATAACTTTTAGTTGCTTATTTTTAACTTTTAGCGAAATTTTAATAAATCTAATTTTACTCAAAAAGGGGTGGAATCCAAAAATGCAAAAAAATACAGGGTCTTCCATTGAAAATAAGATAGTTGGTATCGGATTTAGCACGGGGCCAGCGGGGCCACGGCCCCAGGGCCCCCACCATTTAGGGGCCCCCACCAATGCAATATGTAGCTTTTAAATGAAACAAATATGAAAAATATTGTCGAAAAAACAAAAAATTGGGTCAGTTATACCGCGCGAATCCTGTAATTTTCAATTAATTTTTCGTAGATCTAACTCTATTTTTTCGCG